AAAAAAAAAAAAAAAAAAAAAAAAAAAAAAAAAAAAAGAGAGAGAGAGAGAGAGAGAGAGAGAGAGAGAGAGAGAGAGAGAGAAATGAGCAGGACAAGTAGAAATAAAAAAGAAAGAAATGGAAAACTCAAACTTGCCAATAACAACATTAAATGTAAATGCTCTAAATACTATACTTAGGAAGCAGATATATCAGTTCTGACTGCTAGGTGGATTCACTCAGTCTTATATCCCTGTGTTATCACCAATATTTACTGAATATGCATAATGCACCAAGCACAAAAATAAGAAAGACACATTAATGAAAATACAAACTTCAACCATATGATGTCAAAAACAAACTCTATTTAAGCCAGCACTTGGAAGGCTGAGACAGTAGATTATGAGTTTGAGGCCATCCTGGGCTACAGGGCAAATTTAAAATCAGCTTCAGCTACAGAGAGATGCTGAGATGCTGTGTCAAATGGGGGGGGGGGGGGAAGAAACCCTACTTCAATTCTCAGTTTAAATATAAACATATTAAAAATAAAACTATTAAAACTGGTGGTCTATATTAACTCAAAATAATTAAAGGAAAGCTGGGGTGGCCGATACTAATGTCTGACTTGGGTTTCAATCAGAACAGTCTACTCAGAGCCAAAGAGTATATGAGTAAAGTTAAAATGTTAGTTTGTCGGAAAACATAGCTCCTCAAACTGTTCTGCATCTAATAACAGGGTTTCAAAATACACAAACAAAAACCTCACAGAAGGGAGAAAACAAATACAGCCATAGAGATGCCACTTCCAAATGATGGTAGGATGAAGCACCCAGACATGGAGTGAAATATAGCATGGATGTAGGAAGAAAAGCAAGAAGGATGCAGAGGATTTGAATCATTTGTCCAAAACAAGCAGAATTTACCATATTTTCAAATGCATTTAACAATATTTGGGGCATAAAACAAATCTTTTTTTTTTTTTTTTTTTTTTTTTTTGGTTTTTTGAGACAGGGTTTCTCTGTGCTTTGGAGCCTGTCCTGGAACTAGCTCTTGTAGACCAGGCTGGTCTCGAACTCACAGAGATCCGCCTGCCTCTGCCTCCCGAGTGCTGGGATTAAAGGCGTGCGCCACCATCGCCTGGCCATAAAACAAATCTTAATAGACTTGAAAGGTGTCACACTGCAAAAAAATCCAGTAAAATATTAGCAAACTAAAACTAGCAAGCTGTGAAGAGTCAGTCTTGACGATAGAATGGCACAGGACTGGGGAGCTAGTTCAGTGATGAGGTGTTTACCTGGATTGTATGAGGGCTTTGTCTTGGTCCCAAGTTCTGGGGGAAAAAAGCACAAATAATTCAGTAATGTTATGATCAAGAAAGAGAAACAGACAAAAGAAAAAAACACAAAGGAAACATTTACACACATATCTTTGTTGTTGGTGGTGGTGATGGTGGCGGTGGTGGGATGTATGCATGTGTTTTGAGACAGGGTCTTACGATTTAGCTCTGGCTGTCCTGGAACTCACTATGTAGACCAGGCTGGACTTGAACTCACATAGATCCGCCTGCCCCTGCCTCCTGAGTGCTGGGATTAAAGGCGTGCGCTACGCCCAGCTTCACACACATATCTTTATGAAATAGAATGCTTACATAAAATGAATTATCACCGAAACTGACTCAAAACATTGAAAAAATAATGGACTGAACAGCATAGAAGTTGAAAACATAATAAAATTCTTTGCTGTTAAGTAAGACCTCACGACTTTCACCTAAGAGGAAGATATACAGCTTACCTTACAAGGAAGGCTAGCACATCGTGACACTAGAAGCTGAGCAGAAAACTATCCAGACAAATTCACATAGAAACAAGAAGCCAGCCTCATGTCTCATATTTAAACTTGAAAATACCTGTGAACCTAGGATTATCATGTGTGCGCATGTGTCTGTGCACGAGTATCTGTGTAGATCACCCAAACAGAGCATACTACTAAACAGCTCAGCACAGGCTACATAGCCAGCCCACGCTGGGTAGGTGTTTTTTATTAATTAATTTATTTATTTATTTATTTTTGTTTTTATCAATTTGACACAATCTAGGAGTCATTTGGGAAGAGAGACCTTCAGCTAGAAAATACCTCCATCTAGGCATCGCAATCCCTGACTTCAAACTCTTCTACAGAGCTACAGTACTGAAAACAGCCTGATATTGGCATAGAACAGGCAGGAGGACCAGTGGAACCGAATAGAAGACCCAGATATCAATCCACACATCTTCGAACACCTGATCTTTGATAGAAGCAAAAAGTATCAAATGGAAAAGAAGCATATTTAACAAGTGGTGCTGGCATAACTGGATATCAACACGTAGAAAAATGAAAATAGACCCACATCAATCACCATGCACAAAACAAACTCTTAGCAAGCTGAGGCTGGAGGGACAGGCCCAGGCTGAAGTAGACACAGGCTAATCTACTGCCTCTCTTCAACGTTGTTAGTAGGGACCCTGGAAAGCCTATGAGAGCAAGAACAAGAAACAGAAAAGGTTGTCAGGACTTGTAGCTGTGGTTATGTCTACAAGATACAAAGTTATTAGACAGCAAGCAAGTCATGAGAAGAGATATAAACGCTCAGTAAAGAGATCGGCAGGGCCAGGATGGGAGGAAGAGAACAAGGCGCTCACAGCCCAGCGGGGCCTGGAGGGACTCACAGAGGCCTTCGTTCGGATGTGTGAACTCTGCACCTAAGAGTCTCTCCCTTTTATTAGATGGATTTTTGAAGCCGTGTGTTTGTGTGGAGGAGTGTGCATTAAGTGTAGGTGCCTGAAGAGGCCAAAAGAGGAATTCAATTCCCCTGGAGCTGGAGTTGTAAGCTCCAGCTGTAGGTGCTGAGAACCAAACTCAGACGCTCTGCAAGAGCAACAAGTACTCTTAATCACCGAGACATCCTTCCATCTCTCCAGCCACCCTTCATTTTTTCTGAGAGTATCTCTTTAAATTCTGCACCTTCATTTAAGCAACATACAAAAATCAGTAAGTTCAAATGAACCAATGTGGTAGAGACTTGTCTTTTTTGAGACAGAGTCCTGTTTTGTAGCCCTGGCTGTCTGTCCTGGAACTCACTATGTAGACTAGGCTGATCTTGAATTTTCAGAAATCTGCCTGCCTCTGCTTCTTGAGTTTTGGGATTAAAATTGTGCACCACTGGGTGGTGGCAGTGCACGCCGTTAATCCCAGGACTCAGGAGGCAGAGGCAGGCAGATCTCTGTGAATTCGAGGCCAGCCTGGTCTACAGAGTGAGTTCCAGGGCTGGTTCCATAGCTACTGAGAAACCCTGTCTCGAAAAACCAAAACCAACCAACCAACCAAATAAATAAATAATGTTGTGCACCACACCATGTCTGACTTCTTGTCTTTTTTTTTTTTTTTTTTTTTTTTTTGCCTCCCCAGCCCTGAACACTTCTCTCTGAAGGAGCCTCAAACATTGTTTACGTCTTGAAGAATGTTTCTTCTCTGAGAGAGAATTTCTTGTACCACAGGCTGGCTTCATAACTGCTCCATAGTCAAGGAAGACTGAGAACTCTTGGTCCTCCTGGATGGACCTCCCAAGTGCTGCAGGAGCCTATGCCTCCATGCTGTCGGCTAGTGAGCCAACTTTTCCAAGAGTGATGTTGCCATGTGTTGTTTATGTAGCTTGAGACTAAGTGTAACTTCAAGGGTGGGAGGAAGGACTCTCCCGAGGGACCCCATTTCAGATGTTTGTGGGTCCTCTGCTAAACCTTAAGAAAGGGTATGTATGCTCCATGTACCCCAGCACAGGAAGTCTGCACCATCTCCCAAAGCATCACAAGATGGAAATGAACCCCACAGCTCTCACTTGACTTGGTGGACCACACTGTCACAGTGGCAGGGGCAAACCCAGGTTTCATGGGGTCCTCTTTAAGGCAAAGAACAAAATCAGGACATGGTAGTGTGTGTCTGGAATCCCAACACTGGGAGGCAGTGAAAAACTGATAGCTCGAGATCAGTGTGGGCTACATGGACACCCAGCCTCAAAAACAAATACCCATAAAGTTACCAACCCAGAACGTCCACAGCCATTCTAACCCACTCCACACGAGGGAGATTACAGCACAGGGAAATTAGAGTCTCAAGTGATGGCAATGAAGAATACTTTGGGGGCTTGTCAGTGGTGGGGCTGGGGCTGAGCTCCCTGAGCTTCAGACAAACCTGCCTCAGGTCACATGGTTTGAGGCTGTCTTCAGTGGTTGTAAGATTTGCGATTAAGACCCAGAGATGCTGGGAGCAGGGCCCCAGCAGGACATGTTAGCAGTACACTTGATAGAGGATGCACTTTTCACTTATGGGCACGACCCCTTCAAATGCAACTTAGGTCTCTCTGAAGACTGTCTTTAAGGGTCCTTACCGTTTCCACATACTCTATAGCAGCAGGCTCAGGAGTGCTCTGAGGAAGGAAAGAGGAAATGGAAACAAATTCACAATAGGTTTGATGTGTGTTCCTGACTCCCTGCTATCTTAAGAGATGTTCTTTCTCCCCTGGTCCCATTTTTTCTTTTAAGAAGTGAATTCACGAGCTGTGTATGGTGGCGCACACCTTTTAATCCCAGCACTCAGGAGGCAGTGACAGGCAGGTCTCTGTGAGTTTGAGGCTAAACTTATCTACAGGGTAAGTTCCAGGACAGCCAGGGCTGTTACACAGAGAAACCCTATCTGAAAAAACTAAACAAAACAACAAACAGTAACAACAAAAAGAAGTGAATTCATGGTGTACACATGGAGGTTCAATATCTGGGCAGTCCCCTAGCCTATGGGGTTTCAAGACGTGACCTTTAAGGTTGGAGAAAGATGAAGTACTTAGAGACTATAGGTGTGGAATGAGTGGATCCGTTAGGACACTATTATAAAAATGAATGTTGGAGAAACTTGCAATGAGTATTTCTTTAATTTTTTTATTATTTTATGTGATATATATTTTATTATATTGTAATTAATTTTTGATAAATTAAATTAAAATTTAATATCAAATTAAATAGTTCAATTTAAAAATTTAATATTTAAAGAAATAATTTAGTTTAATAATTAATTGAGTTTTATTTATTTGTGAGAAGGAGCCTTGTGTGTGCCATGGTTGGGTTGTGGGAATCAGAGAACGACCTGTGGGAGTCAGTTCTTTTCTGCCATGTGGGTCTCAGGGGTCAAACGCAGGCTGTCGACTTGTCAGTGTGTTCTTTACCCCGAGCAATCTTCAGGGCCGTCCTTTTCTTTTTTAAATTGACACATGTATAGAGCACCATGGGATGTTTCTGCACATGGTTATATTGTGTTGTGTTCCTTTTACTTTTCTTTTTTCTTCCAAGACAGGGTCTTACTATGTAGCGCTGGCTGTCCTGGAACTCACTATGTAGATCAGGCCGGCCTTGAACTCACATCCATCCACCTGCTTCTGCCTCCAGAGAGCTAGGAGTGTGCCACTATGCCCAGCAGCCTCTATTGTGTTCCTAAAGTGAACATTTCTGATTTGGGAGATGGCGATGATGATAACAGTTTATATTTAAGTAACTCCAAATATAACTTACAGTAAAAGATCTACCAGCTGGGTGGTGGTGTCACACACCTTTAAATCCAGCACTCAGGAGGCAGAGACAGGCAGATCTCTGTGAGTGTAAGGTCAGCCTGGTTTATAAGAGCTAGTTCCAGGACAGGCTCCAAAGCTACAGAGATACAGTACTGTCTCGAAAAACAAAAAACAAAACAAAACAAAAAACCAAAAAAAAAAAAAAAAAAAAAAAAAAAAAACAAAAACCGAAAA